CTCTGGCCCACGTTTGCGAGCCGGGACTGCGGGATGATCTAGCTCGCGGCGCACGGTTGTGGTGAGGTGGCCGGCCCGTGCCGTGTCCTCCCCTCCCTGGCCAGAGGCAGGCTGGTCTGTGCGTGCCGGTGGGGCCGAGCCTTGCACCCCGCTCTGGCATTGGTGCCTCGTGATGGCACATTCGGCCGACGTGCTTCCTCGGCCGCGTGAGGTGCTGGAGACGTTGTTTATGGCGGAATGAACGTCTCGCGGCTTTCCCCTCTGTAGCTCACAAATGCCATAATCTTGTCAAAATTGGCCACTGGAGCGCAAATAACTATTGCGGGGGATACGCCCTTTAAGCCCAATACCTACCTAACCTCGTCGCAACTGTTCACTGTGTGTGGCGGAGCTCCGGCCGTCGCCGTCCGTAGCCGACCAGGCCGCTTGCCCGAAGCCCTTCCGGGAGTTGCTAACGTGCGGCAGCTGCAGAGTTGTCCACGCACATTGATCCGCTGGGTGATAATCGAATCAGATCAGGTCAGATCGGAAGACTTGTGACTTCGACGCGTTATCAGATTACGCACTACGAGAGGACGTGCACGCGATATGCATGTTCAATCTTCATTCAAATTGAACATTATTTCGTCACATTTGAGCATTTGAGCTCAAATATGGCGTATTTTGCTCAGGAGTTTACGTGTCAGCATCCCAATCAGCGTTGTTGCGATGAAAATAATTGTTTTCACGAGTTCGTCAGCTTGTGCTGGTTCGTCACGTTTCACGAGTTCGTCAGTTCGTCAACAAAACGGCTGCAACTATGATGTAACGTGCTGGACGAGACCACACCTAATCCCACACCTTTTGCGCAGTGTATGCTGTCCGGTGTCTTCGTCCAACGCAACGACCTGGGCCTTCCGTTGACAACTCACACATGTATCCGTACATGCCTCACTATTCCATGCCTATAACATCTACAACCGTGCCACCCGTTCCTCGTGCGACGCTGTTGCTGCCGTACCCTTCACAGCCCACCGTTTCGTCCCTGACCGACCCCATCCCGTCGTCCGGCAGGCGCGCGGCGGTTTCTGCAACCTGGAGTCGGTGACGACGCACCTGGTGGTGGCGGTGCACGCGGTGGCGGCGGCGGCGCGCCGCGCCGGCCGGCGCCGCGCGTTCTCGGCTGCCTGCATCGCCTTCTGCTTCATCACCCTGCCGGCGCTGGACGATGTGCTGACGCGGGCGCGCCTGTACGCCGTGACGGCCCAGGTGGCCCTCTCCGGCGGCTGTCCCGGACAAGGTACGCCATTGGGAGCCGGAGGGGGACGAGGGTGTGTCCCGCCGAGCCGGAGCGGGACGGGGGTGCGTCCCGGGGAGCTGGAGCGGGACGGGGGTGCGTCCCGGGGAGCTGGAGCGGGACGGGGGTGCGTCCCGGGGAGCTGGAGCGGGACGGGGGTGCGTCCCGGGGAGCTGGAGTGGGACGGGGGTGCGTTCCGGGGAGATGGAGCGGGACGGGGGTGCGTCCGGGGAGCCGGAGCGGGACGGGGGTGCGTCCCGGGGAGCTGGAGCGGGACGGGGGTGCGTCCCGGGGAGCTGGAGCGGGACGGGGGTGCGTCCCGGGAAGCTGGAGCGGGACGGGGGTGCGTTCCGGGGAGCTGGAGCGGGACGGGGGTGCGTCCCGGGGAGCTGGAGCGGGACGGAGAGGGGTCGCGGAGAACTGAAAAACTGGGACCGGAGTACGTTATAGAACAGTGGGGAGGTACAGAGTACGTTATAGGAGAGTGGGGTGGCACAGGGTACGTTCTTGGAAAGTGGAGTGGGACGGAATGCGTCCAGTGAGATGGGCGAGTCGTGAGACGCTGCGAGTCAGATGTGTTGGTTAGGGAGAGGGAATTATAGCAGATCTCCGCTGAGTGTGAGGAGTTGCATCGCATGGGAGTTTTAGCTGAAATTCCTCAATGCTCTTCTTGCTCTCTCTTCAATGCTTCCCAATGCACATAGGTAAAAAGAGATTACTGGCCAATGAAATGCAACAAATGCCTCAGAACTCTCGTTAGCTAGAAATTTAAAGATATCATCGATATTTTTTTCATTTTGCACGAAATAGTGTCCTATAGATAATTCAGTATTTTGTATAGTGTTTTGAATGATACCCAAGTGTTTTATAATGCGAGTTCCCACGTATGTTAGGCCAGTGCAAAAGCTGGCACATTTTTCATGCAATAACATAGTTGGATTAAGACAAACCAAAGCGGCTGAAATCCCGAACGAAATCTCGTTTGGTGGTCCGCTAGGTCGACTCGATCATCTCAGCCCCGTCCCCAGCCGATTTCGGCAAGTAACACCGCTGGGGAGGGTGAAGGTGAGAGTGAGAGACATGTCCGGCGTCACGTCAGGTGGTGTCGGCTGTCCGGCGTGTTGCCTCGACACCGGAGACTGGCCCGGGTGATGCGCCGAGTCGGGGCGTGGTACGGGCGCCGCTCTGTCCGGCGAGTTACCTCGACACCGGAGACTGGCCCGGGGTGATGCGCCGAGTCGGGGCGTGGTACGGGCGCCGCTCTGTCCGGCGTGTTACCTCGACACCGGAGACTGGCCCGGGGTGATGCGCCGAGTCGGGGCGTGGTACGGGCGCCGCTCTGTCCGGCGTGTTACCTCGACACCGGAGACTGGCCCGGGGTGATGCGCCGAGTCGGGCGTGGTACGGGCGCTGCTGTGGCCGGCGTGTTACCTCGACACCGGAGACTGGCCCGGGGTGATGCGCCGAGTCGGGGCGTGGTACGGGCGCCACTGTGGCCGGCTCCCAGATGTGTAACCGGTGCGTGTTCGGCCTCCGATGCCGGTGCCCAGGCGCCGCTTTGATTCATAATGTATGTGGCAGCTGCGCACGGCCGCGCTCGGACTCCCGAGCAGCGGAGGTCTGTGGGCGGGTGGTCCCGTTAAAACGAGAGCGCACTGGACAACGTGGTCGCCTCGTGCGCTCGTCCGGCTTCGACGGGGCGACCGGCGTGCGCGTCGTCGCTCGGTTCTTGTCTGATTTGCGAGGCGGGCGCGGACTCAGCTGAACGCTGCCTGCTGGTGTAGGCGTATTGCTCTCTGCTGTACAGTGCCGGCTTCAGGGAACGACACCAGGCCCTCGCTGATGACCTTTTCCTTCGTGGACGGTGATCTGCTGGCTCCTCCTCGGGTGGTCCCCCGCTTTCTCGACGCTGACCTTTGTCAGTCTTTCAATCAGTGATGCTATCGCTCACCCTTGATGTCCCGTTTCTCTCGCCCACCATTGATGGCCCGGCTCTCTCGCTCACCACTGATGGCCCGGCTCTCTCGCTCACCATTGATGGCCCGGCTCTCTCGCTCACCATCGATGTCCCGTTTCTCTCGCTCACCATTGATGTCCCGTTTCTCTCGCTCACCATTGATGTCCCGGTTCCGTAGCTGGTGAGTTTCCTGGCGCTCTCCCCGCCGGACTTCTCCTCGCTTCGTCGTCATTAATCCGACGGCTTCACCGCCACTGATCCCCCTGCTCTCTCTCCCTCTAACGATCCCATAGGTCCCTCGCCATTATTTCCTTGCTTTTGTTGGTGTTTTCCTTGCTCCGTCGCTGGGAATCTCCTTGCTCTCTTCGTCATTGGTATCCGTAATCCTCACCAGTGACTAATGAAATGTGTATAGAGTACGTCGCCGGTCAGATCAGTGCACGAGGGTACACTGATCTGACTTTTTTCGACCCCCCCCCCTCTCTCTCTCTCTTTCTCTCTCTCTCGCGCTCTCTCGCTCTATCTCTCTAGGTGTCTTCAGATAGGCTTTTCGCACCTTCACTAGCGGTCTCCACCTTAACCAGCAGTCTCCCACCCTCACCAGCGGTCCCCTTGCTTCTCAGCGGACGCCTGCATGCGCGCGGCCATCAGCGGTCTGCCGGAGATCGCGGCGGAGACGGGACCGGCCGAGCGGAGGCGCTCAGCGCTGGCGCCGACCCTGTCGCTGGTGCGGAGTCTGCTCTCCGCGCTGCTCGTATTTCCGGTAAGCGCCGCGGCGTGCGTCAGGCCGGCGTCCGCGGCGGCGGCGGCGCTCGCTGCTGGCGTCGGTCCGTGGCATCGCCAGTGTCAGTGGTGCGTGTCTGTTCCTGGTGCCTCTGTCGATGTGAATAAGCGGTGTCGACGTCGGCAGCCGCGGTCGATGGCTGCGGCCGATGTCTGCGTCACGGTGCGTGGTCCCAGGCATCGTCAGCGCTAATGATCAGTGATCAGTTCCAGCGTAACTGATCAATGCTCGGTTGTCCGAGGATGGAGGGATGGATGAGCTTAGGAGGCTGCGGCCTGTCAGGGGTCCCTACAAGAGGCCTTAATAGGGCATATTCGTTGTCAAAGCCAATGGAAATCTTGTGCCGTGGTGTGCGGGGCCGTGTGCATGCAAGAATATTCTGGGAACGCCACTGGTGTCAGCCGGAGACGGCACTGACGCGCGCGGAGGATCGTTTCATCATGCTGCTGTCAGATGTCTCAGCCGAACGCGATGGAAGTTGCGTCATTGTATCGTCAGCTTCTTCGCGGCGACACCTCTCCAGGAACAGCGCAGCACTCATGGGAAACTCCTGAGAGAGAGAGAGGGAGCATCTCGGTTGGGACTGCTTATGGCGCTACAAGCAACCGTGGTACCGACGGGTGTCCTGCATGGGAGTACGTTGGTGATATTTCCTGGTTTCTGGCTCCTGGTCAGTGATATCTCCTAGTTTATGGAAGGTTCCTCCTACTGGTGGAAACTCTTGGTAACGGAAAAACCTCTGCGGTTGCGTGAGGCCCTTCGGCACCTTTCTATTTCCAATAATCCAACATCCCACCGCCAAGAGACGTGCAAAAAAACGACAGATAGAACGGCTCTGAGCCCGGAAACAAGCCCGATAACAACCCGGAAACAAGCCCGATCACAGTCGGGGGGGGGGGGGGGGGGGGGCGCCCAGCGTCGATGACTCGTCCGCCACCGTATGCGGGTCATCATGACTCGTCCGCCACCGTTTGCGGGTCATCATGCGTGTTGCCATCATAGCAGGTGGGAGGCAAAATGTGTAAATATCTGGCGGAACGATGCACCTTTAGGATTAGCACCATCGTCGGGAAAACGCGGTTTGATTGCGCGGCATCTCATCCCGGCCACGGTGGTATCGGCCCGTGACGGGTTTGTATCTTCGGTAACGGATGGACACTGGCGGTGGGTCTGGGCGTCACTGCACGTCGGGCGAAGAATTTGCCGTGCGCTGATGCCTAAAACACGTGCTGGTGCTTTCTTATGTTCTGCCAGCGCCATTCATTATACATTATGTAGCGTTATTCAATTCGTTATTCGTCATGTAACAGCGGCACGTTCACGTGCTTCCAACAGTTACGTGCCCCCCCCCCCCCCCCCCCCCCAGCTGCGCATCGTGCTGAGCCCGAATGTTGCGGTGTTGGTGGCCTGTATGCATGCAATGCTCGCAGCGAACGTGTCCAGACTGGACCCGACAGCCAGGAGCCGCGTGCCGCCCTGCTGCGCTGCACGGTCCTCCCACAACGACCGCCAAACGGCGCAGCACGCTTCACCAAAACGCTTGTCACGCGGGCGGGCTGAGCGGCACCACGCGCGATCGTGATGTGAGGGCACGGCTGTGAGCAGCACCACGCGATCGTGATGTGATGACACGGCTGTGAGCAGCACCACGCGTGATCGTGACGTGATGGTACGGCTGTGAGCAGCACCACGCGTGATCGTGACGTGATGGTACAGCTGTGAGCAGCACCACGCGTGATCGTGATGTGATGACACGGCTGTGAGCAGCACCACGCGTGATCGTGACGTGATGGTACGGCTGTGAGCAGCACCACGCGTGGTCGTGACGTGATGGTACAGCTGTGAGCAGCACCACGCGTGATCGTGATGTGATGACACGGCTGTGAGCAGCACCACGCGTGATCGTGACGTGATGGTACGGCTGTGAGCAGCACCACGCGTGATCGTGACGTGATGGTACGGCTGTGAGCAGCACCACGCGTGATCGTGATGTGATGACACGGCTGTGAGCAGCACCACGCGTGATCGTGACGTGATGGCACGGCTGTGAGCAGCACCACGCGATCGTGATGTGATGGCACGGCTGTGAGCAGCACCACGCGATCGTGATGTGATGGCACGGCTGTGAGCAGCACCACGTGATCGTGACGTGATGGCACGGCTTGTGAGCAGCACCACGCGATCGTGATGTGATGGCACGGCTGTGAACAGCACCACGCGATCGTGATGTGATGGCACGGCTGTGAGCAGCACCACGCGTGATCGTGATGTGATAGCACGGCTGTGAGCAGCACCATGCGTGATCGTGATGTGATGGCACGGCTGTGAGCAGCACCACGCGATCGTGATGTGATGGCACGGCTGTGAGCAGCACCATGCGTGATCGTGATGTGATGGCACGGCTGTGAGCAGCACCACGCGATCGTGATGTGATGGCACGGCTGTGAGCAGCACCATGCGTGATCGTGATGTGATGGCACGGCTGTGAGCAGCACCACGCGATCGTGATGTGATGGCACGGCTGTGAGCAGCACCATGCGTGATCGTGATGTGATGGCACGGCTGTGAGCAGCACCACGCGATCGTGATGTGATGGCACGGCTGTGAGCAGCACCACGCGATCGTGATGTGATGGCACGGCTGTGAGCAGCACCACGCGATCGTGATGTGATGGCACGGCTGTGAGCAGCACCACGCGATCGTGATGTGATGGCACGGCTGTGAGCAGCACCACGCGATCGTGATGTGATGGCACGGCTGTGAGCAGCACCACGCGATCGTGATGTGATGGCACGGCTGTGAGCAGCACCACGCGATCGTGATGTGATGGCACGGCTGTGAGCAGCACCACGCGATCGTGATGTGATGGCACGGCTGTGCGGAGGGCACGGCCGCATGAGGCGGGACTTCCGGCCGGGGCGGCGCATCTGCAGCAGGCGCGCGGCGCCGGGCCCCACTCGCCGTCCGCGCGGGCGCTGTGCCTGTTTCCCGGTACGGCCCTAACGAGAGCTAGCTGCGCGACAGCTGCGGCGCCGGCCGCCGCGGGCCGTGGCGGCCGGCGCCGCTGCCTGGCGCTGGGTCGTCTGGCCAGGCGCGTCCGCCCGGCGCCTGCCGCCGCGGTCGGCATTCGTGCGCTACAGTTTGGGGCGTGCTCCCGCGCGCCACCGCAGCCACGACACTTCCTGGAGAGAGGCGCAGGTGCCGCTCCGTCGGCTTTCCGGCTACACTGGCGTGCTTGTTTCGAAACATGGCGGTGCGATGGTTTGAGACGCCGGGACCGGCGGCTATCGCAGGCCATGGTCGGACCGGCGGCTATCGCAGGCCATGTCCGGATGGCGGCTATCGCAGGCCATGATCGGACCGGCGGCCATCGCAGGCCATGGTCGGACCGGCGGCTATCGCAGGTCATGGTCGGATGGCGGCTATCGCAGGCCATGGTCGGACCGGCGGCTATCGCAGGCCATGGTCGGATGGTGGCTATCGCAGGCCATGGTCGGATGGTGGCTATCGCAGGCCATGGTCGGATGGCGGCTATCGCAGGCTATGGTCGGACCGGCGGCTATCGCAGGCCATGGTCGGACCGGCGGCTATCGCAGACCATGGTCGGATGGCGGCTATCGCAGGCCATGGTCGGACCGGCGGCTATCGCAGGCTATGGTCGGAGCGGCGGCTATCGCAGGCCATGGTCGGACCGGCGGCTATCGCAGGCCATGGTCGGACCGGCGGCCATCGCAGGCCATGGTCGGACCGGCGGCTATCGCAGGCCATGGTCGGACCGGCGGCTATCGCAGGCCATGGTCGGACCGGCGGCTATCGCAGGCCATGGTCGGACAGGCGGCTATCGCAGGCCATGGTCGGATGGTGGCTATCGCAGGCCATGGTCGGATGGTGGCTATCGCAGGCCATGGTCGGATGGTGGCCATCGCAGGCCATGGTCGGACCGGCGGCTATCCCAGGCCATGGTCGGATGGCGGCCGTCGCAAGCTATGGTCGGACCGGCGGCCATCGCAGGCCATGGTCGGACCGGCGGCTATCGCAGGCCATGGTCGGACCGGCGGCTATCGCAGGCCATGGTTGGATGGCGGCTATCGCAGGCCATAATCGGACCGGCGGCTATCGCAGGCCATGGTCGGACCGGCGGCCATCGCAGGCCATGGTCGGATGGCGGCTATCGCAGGCCATGGTCGGACCGGCGGCTATCGCAGGCCATGTTGGGATGCGGATGCGAAGTTGTGACTCCAGGCCTTATCAGTGCCAGCATGCAGGGTTGTGCTGCCTACCTGCTGCCTGCCGTGCCTGTCTGCCATTCACCGGCGACTGCTCACGGTGCGCTTGCGGTGCTGGTTACCCGTGACACGCGGTGCAAGGGTCTTGTCAATAATACACAGGGCAATCGCACACGGCATAACATAGTTGAGTGGTCATCTTCCGCGAAGCCTTGCTGGTGGTACGGCTTGGAGCCCACGCCGCTGGCGTGGCCAGTGAGAGCCTTCTGACGCTCGCATTGGCCAATGAGGAGCCTCCCGACTCCCGCAGTGCGTGGGCAGCTATATCGGTCTCTCCTCGTCTACAGCTGTCTTTGTGACTTCACGGAGCTTATCTCTGTCCAAGCGACGGCTTTTGGAAGGAACGCTAAGTCGCATTATTTTGCTGGCGTGTACGGCTTTATTGCCTCCGTCTTTGGTGGATTTCATCATGGCTGTTTTGTCGCAGCAGTACGTCATCACATCGGGCGTTTCACCGAATTTCTTCTCACTGCAGTCAGTGTGTCTTTATTTCTCGCTTTCGCGTCCCTCCCCCACCCCCTTGGTATTTCGTTGGACTCTTTTTTCCGTTCCTCCGTTCTTCCCTGTCATTCCTCCCTCGCCCTCGCCCTCGCCCTCGCCCTTGTCGTCGCCCTCGCCGCGACCCTTGCCCTAGCCCTAGCCCTAGCCCTAGCCCTAGCCCTAGCCCTAGTCCTCGTCCTAGTCCTAGTCCTGGTCCTAGTCCTATCCTTAACCCTAGCCCTAACCCTAGCCCCAGCCCTAACCCTAGCCCTAGCCTCAGAAGAGCAGCTGTGTGGCCAGTGTTGCCTCCAGTGAGATGTGCACACACCACTGTATGCAGCTCTCCCTCCTAAGAAGAACACATGACGCGCATGGGCGATAGACCGACTACCAGCTGCAAATTGCTGAGACGGCATGATGAGATTCGTTCTGAAAATATGCTTTTGTGCGAGAAGCGAAACGTCAAAATGCCATGCCATGCAGAGCTTTCAACTAAAGGTCATGAATCGCACGGTTTTTTTCTGAATTAGTAGTTGCGCCAGCTACTTTGATTTGCCTAAAATGCGACACGGACTTTGCTCTTGGGATGGCAGACACAGGCCGAGTAGGTGTGTGCCTGCATTGCACCATGTTCACCTTCATTTACTATTTCTGTGCGTGTTGGAGAAGACCGTAGCCACAGTAATCGTAGTAATGCTAAACTTATTGTCTGCGGTAGATCTTTGTCGGGGCGGGGTGACCGAAAGAGCCTCACAGGTTTTCTGACCTTAGAATGGCGATGAGATAAAGCATTGCAGCTCGCTGACCACTCCCATTCATCTAGCTCGCATGTGGAGAATGTGTATTCTTAGATTTGCAGTTCCCAGCGTTCACGGCCGTATCCGCATTCATTCCTTGATCTGATGCCTGACTGCGCCACGCCATACTGGGCGCACGCTGCGGCCGTCGGCCATGAGCTCACCTCGTGGCCGCCCTGGCTGGGGTCTCGCCGAAGCACTGATCAGGGCCCCGCCGAGCGCCGACTGGGCGGCAGCGCTAGCACGGGATGGCGTCACAGCTGCCGAGGACGGCACGCGACGGTGTCACAGCTGTCTCAGGTGCACACGGTATGACATCACAGACGCAGATTTGGCACAGTGTGATCAGACAGCTGTGATGGGTGGTTCTTGGGATGTCTCAGCTGCTTAAGCGCCGCATCTGGGGGGGGGGGGGGGCATCTGATCCTCCGTCCCGTAACCTCGAAACGAAATCCGCGGGATCGGGATTTTATTGGCACGCGGGATCTTTAACCCGTGTGCCAAGGAACAACTTTGTCTCAGCTGATTCCAAGAGATTTTCCCCCCCCCCCCCCCTCCCCGATAGCAGACCCTAATGGGTAATCGCCAACAAATTGCCGCTCTCGAATCTCATCTTATTTAGCAGCACCCAGACTGTGGAGCACGTTGAAAAGACAGCATATCTGCGACCTTGCATTGGGATGACTACAAAACCGAACAAACGGAACGTGTGAACGCATCTGAAAATAGGCAAATTGGGTGTCACTTACACCCCTGTTAGCCTTTATTTCGCATTCCACGGAATTATGCCACGGAACAAGGCAATTGGATCATGATGATGATAATAATGATCGCCATCATCACCGCCACCGCCTCCGCCACCGCCATCATCATCATCATCATCATCATCATCACCATCATTATCATCATCATCATCACATCGCTCATCGGCGCCATGATGACCGCTCCGCTCAAACGGCGGTGATCGGTCAGACGAGCCGGTGTGGATCCGCGGAAGCTTGCGCCCGGCAGGGGGCCACGGCGTGGCCGGTGGCAACAGGAATGCCGAACGGGCTAAGGGTTTGGCAGACTTACTCCGCAGTGTCGGGTGACTGTAAAGGCGGCTGTAAAGGACTCCAGTTCGTAGTGTTAGGCCGTGCTGTAAGTTAGCCCCCGTCGATCCATCTTGTCGCGGCCATCCCTTTGTCAGGTCACGTGCATTTTGTAATGCAGCTCCTGGCAGTCCAGATGGTGGATTTTCACGTGCATAGTGGTTAGGACAAAGTTTCGATCGATGTTTTAGTGTTTGTAAGATTCACATGGATGTTTACTTTCACCTGTATATGTCCCGTGTCACCTCTCCTTCCGTTGTCATCTCTGTCCCATGCCACCTCTCTACCTTGTGTCCCCCCTGTGCCCCGTAACACTTCTGCGACCCTTGTCATCTTCGTGCCCTGCAACACCTCTGTGTTCCGCGCTACCTCTCTGCCTTGTGTCCCCCCTGTGCCCCGTAACACTTATGTGACCCTTGTCATCTTCGTGCCCTGCAACACCTCTGTGTTCCGTGCCACCTCTCTGCCTTGTGTCCCCTCTGTGCCCCGCAACACCTCTGTGCCATGTGTCACCTCTGTGCCCCGTGCCGCCTCTGTGCTCCGTCTCACCTCTCTGCCCTGTGACACGTCTGTGCCCTGTGTCACCTCTCTGCCCTGTGACACACCTGTGCTCCGTGATACCTCCGTACCTCGTGGCACCCGTATGCTCTGTGCCCTCTAATTTGACGGCAGAGTGATGCCGTCTGCGACAGTGTTGATGCCGCCTTGCCGCGCCGGTGCCAGCTGCGACAGTGCCGTGTCCCGCAGGTCACCAGCCCGACTGCGCCATCCGATTCTCGGTACAGCCGTGCAGTTGAGGCGTTCGTAAGTGGCGTGGTTCTCCGTACGCAGGCTCGGCGGCCGTCGTGCCTCGCCGTCCGAGAACGTCCCGCGGCTGTTGCCGGCCGTCTCAGGGCGGCCCGCACGATTCGAGGAATGTCGCGAGACTGCCGTTAAGGTTCTGAAGGCGTCCTGAGATGGGCGAAGGCCTCTGAGGACGCCTCTTATGACGCTCTGAGACTGCCGTGAAGGCCCTCGGGGCGGCCGGGCTGCCAGTGGTACCCTGAGAACGTTCTGCACATCGGCCAGGACTCCGATAACGTCTGAGATCGTCGCACGACGTCCCGAAGCAGTTGGGGACGCTGTCCCGTCTTCGGTAACATCCTGAAAACACAGTTTCCTCTTTCAGTACGCTGCGAGTATGTCACTTTGTCGTGAGAGTCATGAAACCACCGTTTGAGGGTCTGCTGTGCCGTGTCGGGAGTTTCTCCAGGCCTCCGAACAGAATGGCTCGATCTAACCTGCCGCAACCCTTCAGGACCAGCGGTCCAGGGGCCGCTTGTACCTGGTCAGGGGCCTGCTGGCGGCCTCGGACAGAGCAGTTTGACCTGATTGACCTGCCGTGCCCCTCAGGACCAGCCGTCCAGGGGCCGCTGTACCTGGTCAGGGGCCTGCTGGCGGCCCTGGACAGGATGTCGTGGCTCCAGGGGACGGATGAGCTGGCTGCGCTGATGATCGACTTTCTCCGCCTGCTGTCGGCGCTGTCGCAGCCCGAGTACCTGTACTCGGTCCCCGGCGGTGAGTGCCTGTACTCGGTCCCCGGCGGTGAGTGCCTGTACTCGGTCCCCGGCGGTGAGTGCCTAGACCGTCGGATGACGAGCACCGGCGGCCGCCAGCTCGGAGCGTCTGCATGGGGTGGCGAGCGGTGGGTGGAAGACTGGTGCTGCCGGCCGCGGTAGGGAACGGCGGGTGGAAGGGTGGTGCTGCCGTCCGTGGCGGCGAACGGTGGGTGGGAGTGTGGTGCTGCGGCCGCGGGGGCGGGCGGTGGGTGGGAGTGTGGTGCTGCCGGCCGCGAGGGCGGGCGGTGGGTGGGAGTGTGGCGCTGCCGTCCGTGGCGGCGAGCGGTGGGTGGGAGTGTGGTGCTGCCGGCCGCGGGGGCGGGCGGTGGGTGGGAGTGTGGTGCTGCCGTCTGTGGCGGCGAGTGGTGTCCACGGCGTCCATGTGATCGCGGCCGGCTCTCAGCGGCTTGTGGCCAGCACACGACCCCATGCTGAGAACATGCGCGCTGTGCCAGTGGGCTGCTGACCAGTGATGATGGAGGGAGTACCTGGACATGACCCTGCACTGGTGTGCGCCCTGAACATGACCCTGCACTGCACAGATTGCGTTGTTTTCAGCCTGTCTGGGCCAACGCAATGGTGTGAGATGTGAAAAAGTTATCTGGGAACAGGTGAACACATTTTAGAAGCAAGATTAAAGATCTTATGCGGCTACCGGTTGGACTGCCGTCTTGTGTTCACTTCACGTGCATGCCTCCGCTGCTGTCATGTCGTTATTACCGACAGCTGACGTGTGAGAGATTTAGGAGAATTGGGAGAATTAGGAGGCCGATTTGCGGTGTGTGGGTGCGTGGTCCTACCAAAGCGGTTCAGGGTTCATGATCCGACTACGCGACTCGGCTGCCGTCGTTGGTCGCGACACAAACGTCTTCACCTTGCGCAAGGGTCCTATTTCTGAGCCTGTTACGAGGAGGGTGTCGCGTCTTAAGTCCCCGTGTAGCCGCTGACTAGACTGCGCGCGACGCGTCCGGTCTCAGGACGCCGGCCATCCGACCGCCGCGCTCGGCGGGGAGGGAACGCAGTTCTACGCCATTTTGGCGGGTGACGGCCTGGCGGTGCGGGCACAGGAGCTCTTAGAAGTGAGATTCGGATGTGGTGTTGGGGAAGTCTCAGAGTGACAGGAGCTTTTAAGAGTGACATTCGGATGTGGTGTTGGGGAAGTCTCAGAGTGACAGGAGCTTTTAAGAGTGAAATTCGGATGTGGTGCTGGGGAAGTCTCAGAGTGACAAGAGCTCTTAGGAGTGAAACTCGGATGTGGTGTTGGGGACGTCTCAGGGTGGTAGTCGTATGGCTCATAGGCGGCCGCAGATATCTTCCTTTGTTAACACGATGTTTGACATCGCTGATTTTTCCTTCAAACTACGAAAACTTGAACCTGTTCAGCGATTCAGATGCAAAATGTCTGACGCTTTGGTACTGTCGTTAAGAACTGCTTTTGGCTGAAGCAGCCATCGGAAACACCTGCGCGCGGCGCTCGGTCGTTTGAGAAGCCAGTTTTTCTAATTGGATCTCTTTCGTCGAGTATGCAGGTTTTTTGTTTGAAATAACGATTTACGGATAGTTCATTCCTCCAGGAGGCATGTTGATCCCTTGCACGGCCACCAATTAAACCGTTTTTTTTTGGGGGGGGGGGGCAATGGTTAGTCTGGCTTTACCGGAGTTTTTTACCCACCAGTTGCTGGCATGCGTTCGTTAGACGCAGTCGTGCTTCTGCGCACCATTTTCAGCGATAACCAGCCCCGAGAGCTCACGGCAAAGAGCTTGTGCGTTAGCCCCCAAAAGTGAACTTCTCTCATGCGTTTGCTAACAACCTTTCAGAAGATATTTGTTATCTGGTGGGCAGCAAGTGTTGGCGGTGGCCAACATTCTCCTTTGCCGATTTTTTTTTCTGGCAGTGTCCGGTCAGCGTGCGATCCAATTGCAGCCGGTCTTTGCATAGGATTTAGGATTGATAGCAAGCTTCTGCACGTCATTACGGAAGAATGTGAGTGCGCCAACCTATGTAAAAAGGCCCGACCAAAATCAAGCGACCTCTGCGACGTACGCATTGTTTCCTGGAAAACCATCCATCAATGCAATAGAGGCGCATAGCTCATGAATCAAGGGTCTTCCACCACATAGTTCAGAGCATTGGCGAAAATGTTGCAGACAACCAACAAAAATAAGCAGGTACATGTTGTGCATGGATGCAGCTGCCGCCGTGCCTGTGAGCGTGGACGTCATTGGTGGATGCAAAACGCTGGTTCCGCACGTGACTGGTGGACATAGCTCTCGCCAGAGCTTCAGACGCCAGTTGAGAGATTTGCTGAAGTTGGCGGCTCTGGCTGTCTGATGCAATTTATATCGTGTAGGCGTCGCATTTTTGTTTCTTTATTATTTGAAGTGGGACTCATATTGTTGAAGTTGTTGAATTGCGGGCATATTGGGGGCGGATGATGTATGATCGCACATATATATTTCAGTTAAGAGATGCATTTAGGATATTTTTTGCCGATTCGGCTGCATTTTTTGGCGGGCATGGTCTCGAAATTCTGCTCAAATATCTAACAGTCAGCCATGTAGCTTCGATCCCATGACACCAGAAGACTGGCGAGGGGCCGCTCGAGAAGATGAGTTGGGCAGCGGTTGGGCTCAACATTGCCATTTCGGTCAACACGGCTGGCTTAGAGCAGCGTGGTGGGTCTCAGCTCATCATTGGGGCTCTGATCCCCGATCTGGCACGTTTGATGATCCACCGTGTGCTGTTGACGCGCCGATCGCAAGTTGATCTCCGATCTGATAAAAATCAAGTTATTACTCTAGCTGTCCAAGTTGTTTGGTAAAACACAGGCATCGCTGCAACTGTGAAGCGAGTATGCATCTGTGCATGCAAAGATGGTCACAAAACAAAGATCATACGTAGTGTGAACTCAATACGAACGTACCTCCGCTCAACAACGGAGCAGTGCGCGCCCGCTGCTCACTCGCCGACTTCGCCGGCTAGTGTTTGCCTCTGTCGCTAGGTGGCAGGGCTGTTGGGAATTCAGGGCACGCCCGCGACGAGCGCTGTGTGCGTGCCCATCAGAGCCACCAGGGTTTTCTCAGAACTGTTGTGCGTTGATGCTGCGGCAACGCCCGGGCCAATTATGCGCCATCTGTTGGCTCGTCGTCGGCGCCGAGCTCGGAAGCAGGTCGACTGACGGGCTTGTGCGCCTCGTCAACAGCGATAGAAATCGCTTCACTTGTTTCTCATTTCGTACGTCTTTTTGTTTTTGTTCGAGGCTTGGTGGTCCAGTAACAGGGCCGTTTCAGGTGGTCGTTCCTGTACGCTCTGTGCTCTAACCCTAGTTCTGCACGCTGTGAGATTCACATTCACGTGTGGGTGGAAGGGTGGGGGAGCGGGCGGATTCTGACCTCTCAGTTCTTCCATCTTGGAGTAGCTGTTTGCGCGTCAGCAAATTAGTTGTTATGCCAGTGCAGCGTATGCGACTGTACAACTGAATTCCCATCTTTTTCAACCCCAAATACAGCGGCAGTATACCGCACACTCTGGCATTCATTTGGCTTCACGCAACGCAGACGGTCCACGAAAAAGGAGAGCATGGGGCCGCCTGTCGTAATTTTTTCTCGAAAGGCTGACGCAATACATGCATTGTGGAAACGATTTCAGTATATGCTGGAAGCGACTGTAAACAAATAAATATCCAACTGATATACCGACGTGCTCAGTATCCCTATGCTCAGTATCTGATGACGCCTCTGCCAGGACAGTTGTGTCCATACCCAGCGCTTATGGTGTGTATACAAATATGAATGAACCCGTGACCGTTATCTCACCTCATAGTGCAACTGAACTGTGCCGCGCAACCTTGCGTTAAGAATTCTCTCGAGCATCATATTGCGCATCAAAAATGAACCTCTCGCTTGTACTGTCGATCGTTTGCAAGTCTGACACCGTGCGGGGCAGCCCCCGGTCTCTTCCGCAAGCAGTTGCGTGCTGCAGTGCAGACTCTGCGTCAGTCAGTCACGTCTTGCGAACCTTGGCCATCTATCTTTAGCCGTGCTCGGTCTCGCAGTGATTGACGATAATTACCCACAAACGTGGAATTTGCACCAGAGTGGCGTTCGTCGCTGTCTGCGCGGAGAATGACACGTGATCTTTTCTCCGTGTATCCCCAGTGGAAAGACTCCGAGCGACTGGGAAGCGTGGTCGGAACGGATGATCTGTGTGCAGTGATAATCCTGACTGGTGGCCGCGGTGAGACTATTCGTGGTGTGTTTGGAACGGAGATGGGGATAAGTTTCGGTGGTAGTAATCGAAAATGGAAAATATCCGTGGCTAATTAATAGGTGGTACCCCTTTTGTTAAAAGATGTCGTCTTCGGCCGAATGCGTCCTTTATTTACCTCGCATGGAAAAAGTTACCGCATGTGAGCGGAAACAAATTTAGCGAGAGTGGATTGACCCTCCACGAGTGTTTTGATAGCGGAAGCGTTTTTGTTTGATATTAAAAACGAAAAAGTGTGCCTTGCTTATGATCGGTGTGCAGAAAACCGCGCCCATCACCCGAAATAAGTGACTGCATGTATTTTTTAAAGATAAATGTCTTCGTTTCTTATACATGACAGCAGAGATGACAATGGACAGATGTGTTAAAGTCCCGTAGCAACCACCTGTGCCGTACGCTTGCGCATGTGAAGTGCGCTGTAAAATGTGAATGCAAAAGAGGCCGCACTGAGCATTCATTGTCACTGTTTGTCCAGGGATATGTTTTCAGTTCTGGAAGTAACTAAAGCTCGCAGAGAACGCATCATTTGCGACAGTGCAGACGACCTTGTCTTATATAAGGATCTGTTTCCAGCGGCCCTCGCCAGATGGCAGTGACGTTTCGCTTTCCGTGCCGCTGGCGTAGAAAAGGCTGGTATTCTGGATTTCTGTTCGCGGTCAGAAAGATTCACTGCCAGCGCCGGAGGGCCCTGT